TTTTTTTTTTTTTTTTTTTTTTTTTTTTTTTAGAATTGTAAAAGAAAAAAATTCAAAGTCAAAGAAAAATTACTGTGGGAAAATAAAATTAAAATTTGTTAAAAAATTAATTGCTTGGGAGTGTGAGGGGGAATGGTGGGTACAGGTGTGCAGAAGAGTAACACGGCACGGTTGACAGATATACATATATAGTGAGGAGAGGGGAAGTATGTAGAGAACAGTTGGTGAGGGGGACGGGGTAAGGGGAGAAACTTGAGAGGAAGAGATTTCTGATTCAAAAAAAAAAAAAATCTGTCAGTTTTAAAATTCCAGCCCCCCGAGTAACGCGACATAAGGAACTTTGTTCTAAAAAAAAGGATGGAATTAGTTTGTTTGTAAAAGGATAAGCGATCCTTCTAGATTTTAAGTGTATGACTAATTTGACATTCTGAACATCATACAAATTTATATCTACGTAATAATATAAGTTTTTTTTTGTTTGTTTAAACTTTACGTAAACTCAAGGCTTGAAATTAAAAAATAATTACAATTTTTTGAGCAAGTTAACTAGAAATATTCAGAGCTTATCATTCTTTTTAAGAGTATTTTTCATAATTTTATTTTCAAAATAAGTGGCTGTTTTAAATATACCAAGCGAAAATCTATTATAAACCTCTGCTTCATTTAATCAACATATTGACATATCAGTAGCATCCCTATTATACCTTTCTATCAATATATTTAACTCATGTACATAAGATGGATACAGTTCAATAGATTTACCTTTTTCTCTTGCAAAATTACCTTTATCATTATTAATTAACTATTTTTTATTGCCTTATCTTAACCTTTTTATCTTCTTTTCTGTCTTACTTTTAATCATTTTTATATAGTCAATAAAACAACTATTTACTTGATTTTTTGATTTAATGCAATAAACGTTAGCTACTGTACTATACTTATCGATAACACTCAAAAATTATTTTTCACTGCTTGTGCCAGTAGTCCGATATGGTCGATTTAAATTAATATGTATGATTTCCAAAATATCATTGATCCTTGATTTTTCAGTAGTAAATGCCAAATTATGCATTTTATTTACCAATTAAATTTCATATTCCAAAAAATCTGACTAATTTTTTTGGCGAAATGTCTACCATTTTTTTATCTCATTAAATTTTTAAATAATTAAAATTTACTTAAGCTATTGTTCTATGCAATTTTTATACTTCTGTTAACTTATTCATTGTTATTGAATTTGGCTCGCTATACATAGTTTTATTTGTCGTGTAATACATGTCATTATTTTTAATAGCCAACGGAATTAAACTTCCATTTCGATTAAAAATCTTTGACGTATTTCGTACCAACACGATTTATTGCTTTTGTTACTTTACCGTAACTGTTAGAATATAAGTTAATTTAAAATTACGCGTGCGGTGCTGGGATACTAGGCCATGAACATGTATAGAAGCTCTCGAGCCCCGTTTTTGATACATATTTAATGATAATACGTATATTCAGTAAATAGATAACCGTTTCTGGAGTAAGATGCCTCATGTCCAATATGAAATATTAATAATAATAAATTTAATTATACTGTAGAGGAATATTCTTAACTATTTATTTTTCCCAGGCTCATTTATTTTTAACATGGTAGCAGTCAGTGGTTTGAATTGTCTGTTGTGTGGTTATCACTTGGAAGAGAGACTGTAAAATTAGATGTGCATAAAAAATATGTGAAATATTAAGAAGATTAGTATGAAACGTGTTCATTGATACGTAGCACGTGTGTTTTAGTGCAAAATTTATTGAGATGCAAAAGGATTAAAAAGCTTTATGAAAGAGGAAGTTTGGCACGTGTTTAGTGGAATGAAATGAAAAGGCGATGTTCAAGTAAAGGTAAATGGAAAATGTACAAGAAAAAGTAAGAGCTAAACAGATTGACAACGAGAAAATCTTAAAAGAGATGAACAGTGTAAATTTTGAGTTAAAAAAGGAAGACACAGACTACGTGAGTAGAGATTTTTTGATAATTTTAAAAAACGCACTGTGCATATTAAACATAGTTAAAAGTGAAAAGGAACAAGACAAGACGCTGGATGATATTAAATTTATGTTACCAATTTTTGATGATAATAAGTACAGTTTGGGGAAAAACATAATATTGATGTTGTCAAGGTTATAAATATGTGAAGACGTAGTTAAAAAAAAAAATAAGAAATCAAACAAAAACAGAATTACCAATATCAGCTTAGAAAGAAAAAGATTTAATAGCAATTAAATACATATGCAGTGCATTAACTGTAGATCAATTTGAATTGATACTTGAGAAAACAAGCTCGAATAACATTATTAAAAAATGAGATAAGTTATACATAAGAGAATCAACAGCACTGCAAATATGTGTAAGAAATAAATTATAGAAAATCGAATGAAGTGATTTTGATAAATCTAGTGACTATTTTAGTGAATTTAAAAAGATAATGATTGAAGTAAAAAATGCTGAAGCAACGGTTAATGAAGAGAAGAAAATTCATTATTTACTAAGAATATGACCTCCTTCATTGGAATATATTGGTAATTTAATAAACGTTTTAAAAGAAGAAGAACAAACAGTTGAGCAACATCATAAAGAATAAACGTAATAGTAGAAATTTAAGTGTGTTTAAAGTGGAAAAGAAAAAAAATAAAAACTGTTTTAAAAATGGTATGCCAGGATATTTTCAAAATCAATGTTACAGTAACAATTATAATTAACGACAAAACACATCAAGAGGATCGTGGACTGGTGTTTTGATTGTAGATAGAGAAAGAAGTATTAAACAGCGAGAAGGCAGTCGGGGTCAGTTTGGCAACCAACAACAGCGAAACACTTAGAACAATAACAGAGGCCGTGACAGAACACAGCGTAGTCGTGGTGAATATCAACAGAGGCATAATCAACATTTGTAATAACAATATTATTACGATAATAGTGCTAATTATGGTATAATCACTAGCAAAAATCAAAGTACTAACAAAGATTGATTTTTTACAGTTTTAGATAATAATGTAAGTATTAATATGAATTAAAATCTTGCTGATTGCAAAACGAATAATTTAATGGTCATTTATTCCCCCGCAAGCCCCTCACTTTGGAGGGCTCTGGGAGTCAGCTGTTCGTTGCTTTAAATATCATTTTTACAGAGTCATCGGACAGGCTAAGCTCACCTACGAGGAAATGTCAACTCTCGCAGCAAAGATTGAGGCCTGTCTAAACTCTAGACCTCTTTGCCCTATCACCAATGAGGCGAGTGGAGACTTGGTGTTGACACCAGCGCANAAGTTGACAAAAAACACCCTTTAGGGCTCACAATAGTCTTGATCAGACCAAAAGTCGCAAGAGGGCGAATTAAAAGAAAAACTTTATGTGCATCTAATAAATACAATTTTGGGTGTCAAGAAACTGACGCAGAACATTTATCGAGATTGAAACAGCAGCGGTAAAATAACAAATTATGATAAAATGACTATGGACAATATTACTGCAAAAATATTTAATGAGCAGAATGCATAGCCTACAACATCATATAAAATGAAAGATAAATACAAGATATTCAGCATAGTAGAGAACAAACAGGCATACGATGTAACATGTAATATGAGTCAAAAAGAAAAATTTCAAAGAATGGTAGACCATGTTAATTTTGATTATTTGAATATTTCATGTAAAAAGAAGTTAGATAAAAGTCTGCCTAATAATTGAGAGAATAGTTATTTGACTTGTGGCACTTGTATTTGAAATAAAATGCATATTTTTGAATTTCATACTAATAGACGTAGAGCAAATAATATATTGGAAATCTTACATGTGGATTTAAGTGGGCCTCATATAGAAAGTTGTGATTGTTGATGATTACAGAAAAATTGCTGAAGCATACATAATGAAGTTTAAAAATGAAACTTTGATTGTTTAGTAGATTATATAAATAAATTAGAAATCTTGACAAGGAAAAGAGTAAAAAAGTTAAGATGTAGTAATGTGAAAGAATACCTGAATAAAAGTATTTATTCATTTCCAAAGCATAAAGGTATAATAATAAATCTATGCCCTCCATATATACATAAGGTAAATAGATCTGCAGAAAGATACAATCAATCACTAATGGATACAGAAGATTATCTGTTATCTGAAGCCAAATTGGACATAAAATTTTGGCCAGAAGTAGTAAGAACGGCAGTTCACTTTAAAAACAGAACCTTAGCAAATACTTCGGAAAAGGAAGCTCTATAGAAAAGTATAATGGAAGTTAAGTCAAACTTAAATAGTACAAAATTATATGGAAGTAATATATTCGTAAGAGTGCCAAAGGTTAAACGATATATAATAAATGTGATAAAAAGGCAGAAATATTAGATAGAATACAAGGCAAGAAATAATAGAAGCAGAAATATTAGTAAGATATAAGAATGTTGGTTAGAAAGTACTTATCTTACTATTATATAAAGCAAAGTCGCTAAAACCGTTGTAACTGCTAACCGCGAAAACTACTCAATCGATCTAGCTGAGATTTTGCATACCGATTCTTGACACTTCCTAGATGGTTTCAGTATACTTTTATCTTAAAAAAGTGAATAACAATAGCAGTAAAAAAGTTCAAAGTTTTGCAAAAATACGCCAGCTTTTCACGTTAGTTCAATAGAATCCGCTAGGTGGCATCGACATAAAATTGAAGCTAGCTGCAACATAATTAAATGAGTGTGGTTATAAAACGCCAGAGCGTCTCGATAGTGATGCAGTCGTGCTTTGGCAGTTCAACGAGCTGTTTAGAGAATGCTGATGATAGTCTTGCAGCTGGGTATCCCGGTTACAGAAGACACTCTTCTCTACAGGGGAAGGGACCTAGGTGTCCATTCACCCTGAACCTGCAGGATTGACGAGTGCCACTATTAAAAAAATTTTGTAACCGATAATGTCTCCAGCAGAAACCAGGAGAAGTGTTTAGCCAGAGCTCAATCTGCTCCAACTATTCAGCGTAATGTGGCCGTTCTACCATCCGGCCTGGTGCAGTCAGAGAATTGTTTACTACAAATTCAAGCTAGGTTGGACAGCCCTAAAGGGCACGGGCAGCCACAACAGCTTTCTTTTTAGTGGTCATCCTAACGGCATACCCACAGAGAAAGTATTCTCTAGGCCCACTTTCCCGACTAACGATGAATGGTTGGTTATCTGGGGAACAACCCGAAGACGAAATATTCTTTGGTCATTGGCGTACCTTCTTCCATCACGGTTCTGTACACAGAGACTTCAAGGGTAAGAGCCAAGCTACCTGTAGCCAGCTTTTTATCATCAAGTATAATAATAAGCATAGCTGGACGTTTTGCCACTGGACCTTTTCAGGGCCATTAAAAGTTTTGACGTTTCCTACTTAACCATCAATCTCATTAGCTCTTTCAAGGGTCACCTAAGTTCAAACTACCTTGCCAACAAATACATTTTTACTACCATTTAGGGAAACGGTTCGTTGACTAAAAGACTATGTTAACTAAAGACGGTCACTATTAAACCAAATCAGTCATTCACTAGCAGTCGTCACGAGCGAAGTTGTTCGTCGCAAGGTTGGGTACCCTGGTGACCGACTACGCTATATTACCCTTTCGACTCTAAGCATTCAACCAGGAATCACTGATCCTCTCCAATGTCTGTGCTGGGTGAACCTTAAAGCTATGCAGGAAAAAAATAATTTGAGCAAACGAGATAATCTCCGACGGGTGAGCATCACGAACCAATCTCCACGCCTTAGATCACCAAAACAACTGAGTCGGCAAAAAATAGAAGGTGCTTTAGACACCAACGTTTTTGACGTTATACCAGAAGATGTTGGGAAAGATCTCTACAACTAGCTTCAAAGCTTCGGATTCGTCTTCTTTTGATCAGTCTGGGGCTTCAACAGCAGGCCAGAGAAGATCACCATCCAGGCAGTCACGTTTGCTGGAAACTTCAGTCAAGAAAGAGTTTACTTATGAAGCTCACTGGTCCTTTTTTGGGCCATTGGACGTCGAACTACCTTACTAAAAAATACATAAGAACTTAATAAAGTTGACAAAAAACACCCTTTAGGGCTCACAATAGTCTTGATCAGACCAAAAGTCGCAAGAGGGCGAATTAAAAGAAAAACTTTATGTGCATCTAATAAATACAATTTTGGGTGTCAAGAAACTGACGCAGAACATTTATCGAGATTGAAACAGCAGCGTCAAAATTGACGAATAAAGAATTCATTGCTCCAATTGATAATATTGTAATAAAAAAAGAAAATTTTTATTTATTATACACATTTTTTGGGAGTTTTAAATCTTAACAGCTTTAAAAAATAGCCCTTTTTGTAGATTATACGGGAGAAACTGCCAATCAACGGCCCTGTAGGGCCAACGATTATTTTATGGCACAAGGAACGCACGGTATTTTTCAGCATAGTTGTATTTTTTTTACTTCTTACAGCTTAATATTTGACCAAATAAACTGTATGGATTTCAAAGAAATATGTTCTTCATAAGAAGATTTTTGTTTTAAGAAGGGGCAGGAATAGATGTAAAATTTCTAACTGAAAACGTTTCACATTACATGTCAATACACTATGGTGTTCTATTTTGTAAGTCCTGGACCAAGGTGAGACGGGGGGCCCCTAGTTAATTATAATCACTAGATATATATAAATGGTGTGAAAGAGGTTGTTATATTAGTTTCGCTAAGTAAGAGTACAATGGTTTTGAGATTAGATGGTCAAGATTCTCTATTAGTGCTATTAATTCTAGATTTTTTACTAAGTTTTTAATATCCTGGGCTACGTTTTTGAATATTTTTGAAGAAAATAAGTTTGGGTGCGCTTGACCTCTTTGTAGATTATGCAAGAAGTCAATTACATATTTATGGGAACAAATAATATGATTTAAGGTAGCCTCGCTAAGATAAGTTTAACTTTTTAAGATAAGTTGATAAATGTATTAGATATCTCTCGAGAGCAAAATCTTGTCCAGAAGTCAATATATCAGGAATAGCGTTTTATAGTGTCATATAGTTCTTTGAGTGCCACAGCAAATGTATTTTGTTCATCCAATTTAATATATTCTCTTGAATCCACATGCAAATTTTTGATGTTTTTCTTTACGACAGTGATATTGTCTTTTGTTACTGAGCCGAAGAGTTCTTTAGCAATACTCTTAATAATTCTACAAGCTTCCAATCTTTTCGTTCATTTGCTAGGAGGTGGAATAACGTTCTCTTCCACATAGATTTTCACTGTATTTGTGATGTATATTACTGTTGCTTCAAGTTTTATCAATCACATAATCATTGAATTTAAAAAATTAATTTTGATATAATTATTACAGTAAGGATTGCTGAAACATAAGCAAATTTCTATCAGTTATGTAACAAGTGACATTTATTGTGTGGCACAAACAGTATAAGTGCATGATATGTCTATACTCTTAAAGTGATACAGTTAGGTAGACAGAACGTTACTGTGCATGCGAGCTCTCATAGAGTTTGCCTTGGTATCGAGAGAGAAGACTTTAGAATCTGAAATAATCTTTATTTCTGTTGTTGAGTATATTAATTCAAGTATTAATAAGTGTAACACTACTAATTTATTACCTCATAGTCAATATAAATATATATATTGAATAGTGTAGCTAGTTCCTGGTTACTATTGCTCTTTTTTAATTTTTCCATGCTGCTTCGATGGTTCGTGATAATTAACAACTAAGGGTTAAAGTAAAAGTATCAATCCAACACAAATAAAATTTAAAAAAAGTATCAACTAAACACGTATAAAATAATTAAACAGCACTTTCGTAAAAGTGATAAGAAAAAAGCTTGTAGTAAAAAAAATTTTTTGGGTGTTTGAATAAAGATGAAAAAGCCAAAATACAGATAAAGTAAGAATTCATGTGTTTGATAATAAAGGTTATGAGTGTTAAAAAACGAGAATCACGATGATTCTAAAGTTGAAATTGTGTGACGGAGTAGTGATTTAAGCCAGAGTAACGACGGATAAAGGTAAGTGGATCGAAAAGAAGTTGAAGGTGATGAATGTAATATGTAGTTAAATTCCAAATGATCAGTTACAGTTCGTAAAGGACAAAAAAAAGGCATACACAACAATAAGGAAGGTTGATGAAATATACATAAAGATGTGTACTGCACTACAAATTTCTGTGAGAAAAAAGTCGGAAAAATTTAAGTTAAAATATTTTGAAAATTGAAATGCATTGTTTACTGAGTTAGAAGTATTGATTACATTAATGATTTTAAAAGTGCCGGTGCAAATGCAACTGAAAAAAAAAGTTAAAGCTACCTGATAAAAATTCTTTCAAGTTCGTCACGTTATACTGCTGACTTAATCGATGTGTTTAAAAAATTCAATCAAACAGTTGAGTACGTGAAAAGTAAAATAAAAATGTTTGAATTGAAAAAAAAAGATGAAAGCAAAAACAGTTCAAGTGCGTTTAAAACTTAGAGAAAAAAAGATGGAGCATACATTAAAAGCGAAAAATATAGAAACTTCAAGGCACAATGATCGAGAATGGAACAAAGTGGTAGTTTTATGGCAGCCAGGTGATGTGCAGCAGTAACGAGACTAGTGCCAATGAGAAAAACAATAGCAGTGTCAATATCAATGTGGTACGGGTGAAGGCCAAGTCCGAGGTTATGAAGCTGAAAAGGCTCTAGTCAACATCGTTAAGGAGGTGGTTGGTAGCAAAATAATTACGGTTATTAAAATAAAGAAGGTCATGTGAGTAGTTTTAGTGCAAAATTTGAGAAAATACCTTATGCGTTGCGTGTTATAGTACATAGCTGTGCTAGTAAGGTAATGGTAACTCGATAGTGGTTATCATAAAATATATAATAATCGATATTTTTGTGAATCTATTAAACGAAAAGAGCTCATAAATGTAAAAGTAGGTCATTTTTCAAAATCAAGTAAAGTTAGTAATATCAAACAAAAATTAAATGTTCATGGAAAAAGCACCGTCAATGATATAGGAAATGTTTTTTAAGTAAAATAGATTCATATAAATCTAGTAAGTCACGAAAAACTAATTGAAGTTAATAAAATTGTTTCAACAGGTAATATGTCAAAAATTTTGTAACCAAATGGAGATTTAGTTCTATTACCTAGTAAAATTAATGATATTCATCATATGACAAGTTAAATTATAAAAAGAAAGTCAAATTTAAGAAGAAACAGTAATTTTACAGAATAAGTGAAGGTACGACGAAGAAGGGGTAATACGTAAAATCCATTTCCGTCACTCTTTTTCTTAAGGTCGCCAATATGAAATCGGTGATTTACGCTGACTTATAACATGCCTATATACGTGCGACTTCAAAAAGAAAAATTGCATATCACAATAGGTCATGTAAATTTTAATTATTGAAAAACAATGTGCGATAAGCAAGTGATAGATGGTTTACCTGAAGAATTAAAGTCAGAGTTTTTAAATGTGGAATTAATTTGGAAAGTAAGATGCACAATTTTCCATTAAAACATGAAAGGGTAGGGGCTAAAAATATTTAAGAAATTGCAAATACTGATTTGAATGATCCAATTAGTACTACTTGAAGCAGTAAAAAATAGTTTTCAAGTTTTATCAATGATTACAGTGAGGTGGCTAAAATTTATTATATTAAATTAAAAGATCAAGTAAATAATTGTTCCGTTGACTACATAAATTTAATTGAAAGTAAAACAGAAAAATGGATTAAAAGAAAAACGTGTGATAATGTCATGAAGAACACTATTATTGTTGTAAGTAATTTTGCCAAAGAAAGAAGTATATCTATTGAACTGTGCTCACCTTATGTATATTAATTAAATAGAACGGCAAAACAGTAAACTAAGGAGGTTATAGTTGTGTTGAGATCTTTATTAAAAAAAGCAAGGGTTAATAGTTGATTTTGCCCAAAAAAGGTTGATATAGCAGCTTATTTAAAAAATTGAATTATTACTAATAATGGTATAAGAAATAAGACAGGCTTTGAAATTATTTTTAGAGAAAAGCCTAGTATTAAAAATATACAAATTTATGTAAGTAGAGTATTTGTAAGAATACCAGAGAAAAAAAAGTTCAAAATGGGACAAAAAAGCAGATGTAGAAACTTTTGTAGGCTATGAAA